ATCTTCCAAGATATTTTTAAACCATCTTGAGATTTTTCCATAGCATCTCGAGTTGCTTTAAAAAATATCAAGATTTTTTAAAGATCTCATGATTTATAAAGTAATCTTGAGATTTTTAAAGCATCTCGAGATGCTATGAAAAAATCTCAAGATGCTTTGAAAACAACTTGGAAAGATCTTGAGACCTTTCATTTTCATCTTAAGATTTTCTGAAAGATCTTGAGATTGTCATGAAAAATCTCAAGATTGTCTCATAAGATCTCAAGATTTCGTCTAAAATATTGAGATCTTTGGAATAAATCCTGAGATTTTTCCATTTTTAACGAAGCGTGAAGACCCCCGCTGGGGGTCATTATAATCCGCTATGTAACAGAGATGTTTTTGACAAAATATTGGATATGTACCTGTAAGCTGTGAACAGCCAGAGAGATTAGTCCAAAGTGCTCTGCTCATTCCAATAATAATCTGCTCGCTGTTACATGTAAGTGTGATAAAAATTGTATAGTCTTCTATATATAATACAATTCATGAGGTCATGTTGGTATTTACAGATTGTCAGTTGAAGTGTTTGTTCAGCAAGTTTGTCATGTAAGGTATCGCAGAGTTTTTGTGGCGAGCAGGATTGTTAGCTGCAAAGAAAATCTAAAAGAAAACTGCAACTAACATCGCTAGAGTGTTTTTTTAACATCTTTCTTGTTCTGTATTTGACCAATAGTCAAATAAAAGAACTAGAGGGGCTAAGAGCAACAACTTTGGAATTTCACATTTTGTTGGATTAGACCAAACCACTTTTCTTGCACATGCCCTAGGTACACCCTACGTTTGACCTTACTGACCTCAATGGTAAAATAAATGATTTTGGGTTCATAATAAGATAAGTTAGAATGGTTTATTTGAAATTTCCACCTCACATATCACACTTGCAGTCCTAAGACTGAATTATGGTGACAGTACATACATACATTATCATAGACTTATAACAATTATTACTAAAGGTTAAAAATTAAAAATGACAACTACACTTTATGTACATTAAGTGTTCCAGGTTCATACTTGTTCCAGGTCCTCATACTGCACGGCCACTGATTTAGCTGCAAATTATTCTAAGTAGAAAGACTTAACATACGCCCCTGTGGTAGCCAGTGACAACAGGGAGCCAGCAGTAACTACGGAGGATGGCATTGCTAAATAACTTTCTGTGAAAACAGACTGGTACAAACCATGATATCAAAGAGGATGATTTCAAAATGCATTTCAGTGAAATATCCCCAGACTTACACTTTACCAACAAACTGACTATAATTCACAGTACTTAGTCGAGTATCATCGTAGGTACACAAGATACAAGTACCACCAACTTACAGAATTTTGGCATGAGCCTTTTTGCTTAGCACCAGTCCAACATAGAGCTCACCTGGCAAGAACACAATCAGTGTTAGACAACATGTAAGTATTATATAATACTAACAGTTATTGAAATTAACAACTAACAGGATAGCAAGTTGCCATGCATCTATACACAAGGCCAATTCTGTAATCTAAGTGTTGGAAGTTAAAGCTTAGTCTTATTTCATAATGACTTGTACCAACACAGATGAACTTTCGTGCTATTTTAAAGCATGTAAACTGGGCATTATTAAGTACTGTTGGTCAGCTACTAGTATCCTCACTAGTGATGCATACCTAAACCCAATTTTAGGTTCAGGTCCGGATTCAAGTCCAGAGGTTTAGGTTCAGTTCCGGACTTGTAAGTCCGGACCTAAACCCATGGCATATACAAAATTGCATGTTGGCAACCTTGCAATGTTGTCTGTCTAACATGGATGCCGGTATTTTACGATGCCAGAAGGCAATGTTTTCTTCATTTTGCAGCAAAGATTTTGCAATGTACGGAAGGTTTTAGGTGGTTCGGAAAGAAAAGGGGTATGTGAAATGGTCTTTTATGGTAATAAGTCCGGACTCGGTTCTTGACTTTTAGGTTTTTTTGGACTTGAACCTAAACATTCTTACAAGTCCGGATCCAAGTCCAGTGAACCGGTATGCAGCACTAATCCTCACCCTGTAAGGGCGGCATGTCGTCTGTGTACACGGCCTCTCCTGTCACCTGCTTCAGCGCTGACAGGTGCATGATGGGACGTCCGACAGCATCCTCCCTCCCCTGACCTTCAGGAACCTCCTGTACAGACAAGTTGGTAGAGGTCATTGGGTCAGTCCATTTCAATTTTAGGAAAAAACAGAAGAAACAGTTTCATCCAACAAGAATTAAACATCATTATATATAATAATGTTCCTTATTTTTCCTCCCTACTTGCAACATTTCTGTGCTTCTGAACTAATCACCCATTCCCTACATTGTTGAGCTGTTAAACACTAGTTAAATGCAGTTCTTCCCTGCTTTTACTTAAGAGGGCATTGAGTGACTGAGTTCGGCTAGCATTGACCTTTACCTCTACTTGTGTAAATAGGCATTATTATAGCTCTCTACCGATTTTGTGTCATTACCTTGTAAATTATGTAATTTTTAAACCATTAGTGTTGTTTAACGTCAATTTTATGAACTGTAAAAACAACTCAATTCAGACTGTCCAGCTAGTTGTTTGAAGAATGATTGATTGATTGATTGATTGATTGATTGAACTAATTCTCAGCAGACCTTTTGCTGGTGGAAGTTTAAATTTCTTCTACTAAGTTGATTATTCGTGCACTTGGACTAGCACAGTGTGCCACTTTTTATCTACACATATGCATATTCTTCCTACAAACAGAAAATACAGTGAGTTCAAGTGAGATGACTGCATTACAAATTCTGTATATGCTCCAAGAAAGACCACAGCAGTCCATGTTACCTGGTACATCTGTGTGCTCAGTGTTAAAGTAAAGACTGTATAGCTAAATGTTGTATGTCCAGCCCATGTTACCTGGTACATCTGTGTACTCAGTGTTAAAGTAAAGACTGTATAGATAAATGCTGTATGTCCAGCCCATGTTACCTGGTACATCTGTGTGCTCAGTGTTTAAGTAAAGACTGTATAGCTAAATGCCGTATGTCCAGCACATGTTACCTGGTACATCTGTGTACTCAGTGTTAAAGTAAAGACTGTATAGCTAAATGCTGTATGTCCATCACATGTTACCTGGTACATCTGTGTACTCAGTGTTAAAGTAAAGACTGTATAGCTAAATGCTGTATGTCCAGCCCATGCTACCTGGTACATCTGTGTGCTCAGTGTTAAAGTAAAGACTGTATAGCTAAATGCTGTATGTCCAGCCCATGTTACCTGGTACATCTGTGTACTCAGTGTTAAAGTAAAGACTGTATAGCTAAATGCCGTATGTCCTGGAGCACATGTTACCTGGTACATCTGTGTACTCAGTGTTAAAGTAAAGACTGTATAGCTAAATGCTGTATGTCCAGCCCATATTACCTGGTACATCTGTGTGCTCAGTGTTAAAGTAAAGACTGTATAGCTAAATGCTGTATGTTCAGCCCATGCTACCTGGTACATCTGTGTGCTCAGTGTTAAAGTAAAGACTGTATAGCTAAATGCCGTATGTCCAGCCCATGTTACCTGGTACATCTGTGATCCGTGTGGGGACTCTCTGTGGTACAGGCTGCAGGCACTCCTGTAGGGCGGGGGGACATCCTGGACAGGGGAAAACACAGACATGTGGTAAGAAGTAACACTTGCTCATCATCATCTTTTGGCCCTGGGATAGATGTGTCTCTGTATGTGAGGATGGTGTTCAGCACCATGGACAGTTCTGTGTGTCTGTGTGCAGATGGTGTTCAGCACCAAGGACAGTTCTGTGTGTCTGTGTGCAGATGGTGTTCAGCACCAAGATCAAGTGCGTTTGCCGGTGTGTGAATGGTGTTCAGCACCAAGGACAGGTGTGTTTGCCTGTGTGTGGATGGTGTTCAGCACCAAGATCAAGTGCGTTTGCCTGTGTGTGGATGGTGTTCAGCACCAAGGACAGGTGTGTTTGCCTGTGTTTGGATGGTGTTCAGCACCAAGGACAGGTGTGTTTGCCTGTGTGGGGATGGTGTTCAGCACCAAGGACAGGTGTGTTTACTGTGTGGGGATGGTGTTCAGTGCTAGAGACAGTTCTGTGTACCTGTGTGAAGATGCTGTTCAGCACCAAGGACAGGACTGCACACAAATTGGTTCATAACAGAAGTGGATATGTAATGTCTTGATCATATGAAACCATATGTTGTATGATCATATGTCGTACATTGGCCATCTAAACAGCACCAAAAGCACAATATACACATCAGAGGGAACCATAGGACCCTACAGCCACCCCACCTTGAGGTTGAACCAAAACGTCGGCTGAATGATAATATAAAAGACTTGGTTGTGCATGTGCACCTTAGTGCACCCAAAAGTGGAGTTGTGCACCTAATTTTTTTCTGTGGCACCCAAATATTTTTGTAGGAATTTTTAACATTAGAAATGTATAAAAGTATACCGGATATTCTTGGCATCTAAGTGTCAGAAAAATAATAAAATCTTTCTTGAAGTTCTTGTTTAAGATTTTGAAGTTAGCTCTCATTTTAGATTCAAGCTCAGAAGAGGACCAGTAAGACCTGCAGTTAGGTTTGGTTTCATATGGTGCACCCCAAAATTTTTTTGCGCACCTAATTTTTTAGGTTGGGTGCACCAGTGCACCTATTCCCAAAAATGAATTTCGAGCCCTGCTCATGATACCTTGATGTTTAGCCTCTGCTGTACAGACAGGAAGAACTTGAAGAAGAAGCTGGTGGTGAGGGTTCGGCGGAACTCGGCCATTCCTCCGGGGACAGACGGGGGCAGCGGCAGGTCGTCTTCCAGACTCGAGCAGGCCTCGGGGAGAAGATCGTTGTCCCACTTCCTAACAATGTAGACAACAATCCCCACTTAGATTGTTGTCCCACTTCCTAGAGACAACAATTATAAGACAACAATTTCCAATTCTTGCACTTTTCTACACTCTCGTGTCACTCAGACAATATATATATACACAGGAGCAACTTGTGTTTCACTCACAGTCCTGTGAGCCTGTTGGCTGTGTTGCGAGCCATGACGGTGGTGGGAGCCATTCCTCCGAAGGACAGCCCGATGTCACGGATAACATTTGTCCCCTCCTCAAACCGGACACGGAAGGCGGCGTTCACGATGGCGATGTCATCGTCCCTCCTCCGGGCCTGCTTGTACGCCAGGAAGTACTCATTCTAGAGACGATAGATAAAGGTATAATTTTGATTATACATAATATTACACACACAAACACACACACACTCACACACATACAGACACACACACACACAGATGCACACATATCGACAGACAGACAGACACACAGACACACACACAGACACACACACAAACACACACACATACACAAACACACAGACACACACACACAAACACACACAAACACACACACACAGGCACACACACACACACACAGATGCACACATATCGACAGACAGACACACACACACACACACACACACACACACACACACACAGACACACACACACACTCACACACACACAAACACACACACACAGACACACACACTCACACACAGACAGACACACACATACATGAATCAACAGATGTAACTTCTATTATCATACTTCACCTGTGTTGGTAGTTCCATGATTTTGTTTAGAGTTTTAGATCCAACACAAAAAGTTCTCTCACCTAGAGTTTTCGACAGTCTGGTCTTCCTCAGTAGACTGACTCTTCAAAGAAGCCACGTGACAGGCCTCACTGGGTCAGTCTACTGAGGAAGACCAGAGTGACTGGTCGAAAGCTCTAGGTGAGAGAATTTTTTGTGTGCTGGACACAATGTTGGACTGAAATCGAAATTGCTTATTTTTGTCTACTTATGAATGGAATGATGAATATAGTTTCCTGACAATACAGACAGAAGTTCCTGCTTGTACGCCAGGAAATACTCATTCTGGAGACGATAGATGAAGAAATGGTGCAAGTGAAGACCACAGATGGATAAATAAGGCAAGCCATCAATGAAGACAAACATCACATTACTTGTCCATGGTACTGAAATCTAGGTGCATACATGTAATTAGACCAGTCCCTAGCAATAACCATATATGAAATGTCTTCAAACATACCTGTGCCTTACACTAGATGCCACACACACACACACAGACACACACAAACACACACATACAAACACACACACACACACTCACACACACGCGCACACACACACACACACACACACACAAACACACTCACACACACACACGTATGGATCAATGTATCTTCCTTATAATGACACTACTTGATTTGTACCTGAAAAAGGCATCGTCATTATACTTCTGTGAGAAGAAGTAACCCACCTCCTTGGTGAAAGGAAGTTCCAGAGACACCATGACCTCCTCAAACACATTCAAATGTATTCAGTAACCAACCTTTTCAAGTCTGTCCTGCAACTTGCCACAAAATGTTATCCAACACCACAGGGTTTCTGCTACAGCACCAGTCACCATGGTGAAAGAAGAAGTAACCCACCTCCTTGGTGAAAGGAACGTCCAGAGACACCATGACCTCCTCAGGAGCAACAGCGGTCCTCCTGTAGCCGGGGAAGAAGTCGTGGTCCATCCTGACCACTCGGCTGCCTCCCTGGTGGGACGCCACCGTCACGGTGCAGCCGGCTGATAGGAAGATGGGGTTCAGGTCAGAGATGGGGCTGGCCGTCACAATGTTCCCTCCGATGCACTGTTGGCAGGAAATTTTTCATATCATTCTACTGTCATTCTTTGAAATCTCATGCTTTTTACGACGTGGTAGAGCAATAATTAAATGTTACAGCAATGAAAAACACAAAATAGCATGTTGTTGACTGACCAATACAAGATGTTAGTGACCACCGTATAAGCTAAGGTAAGCGTTAGAGCAAAGCACAACACAAAAATGTCTTCATTTGAATATTTCTTGTTCATCAACAGCGCGACCTGTCTAATACCTACCCCGACATTCCTGATCTGGTGGCCGGCAAACCACCTCAGCATCTCCACTATGGCAGCAAACAGTCTGGTCTGATGTTCTATTAAAGCAACAAAGAGTGAGACATTATAGGAATTTAGAAAAGTTTAGATTACTAAATCAAATATGTTTCTCGCACCTAATGATGCTTTCCCCTGACATCAGTCATTCCAGTTTTTTTTACCATCTTCTGTAACTGTACCATGATGAAAGAAGTGCAAAGAAAAATGATAGATATACCAAAAATCTTACCTGGAAGATCAGCTATGGCCTCTGTCAGGGTGTCATTGAGGTAGGTAAGTGTGCATCCGGCTCCGAATGTGATGCCGTGTTCGGTGTACCTGTGGAAGTTGATCTCAGGCAGGTGTCCAGGTGCGATGATCAGGGGGTATTCACAGTTCTTAAACTTCACCTCAACACCTACACAAACACAGTTTTTGTCATTCATAAGAACAATCTAAATTATTGTTGTCCAGTGCACTACTTTACTTTTAAAAACACGCAGAGATTTTCTTTCCCTGGCAAAAATTTGATATGCAATATTTGAACTCAAACTGAGCTCTATCTTCAGGGTTATTCGTGATTAAGAGTATTCCACACCTACACAAAGGCAATTTATGTGTCACTCATTTACTCACTCACTCACTTTCCGGTTTATCATCTGTTGTTCCCATCTTCAGAGAGTTAGATATGCTTATACATGTACATGTACCCTTGCTGAGGCTTGATGGCAGTCTGCCATTTGAATCTATCCTGTGGGTTGATGTTTTAAGTAGGTTAAGGTGATGGAAGTCCTCCCTTAAGTTGTCAATCCATCATCAGCATTCACAAGAACAATCTAAATTGTTAATGTCCAGTACACTAGTTTACATTAAAAAAGGTGCACTCTGATCTTCTTGGCATATCAAAACTTGGATTACACAGTATGTAACATTTTAAGCTTTGTTCCAATACAATAGAAACACTCGCCACAAATTTTCAGCCAAACACTTTGAGCTTCATCTGATCAAAACCAACTTCCATCTCCTGCAGTCCTCATGATTTAGAGTTTTTACACTGTTTGAAACACCAACACAGGACAAGATACAGGAGTTTTCTTTCACACATTCGTGAACCAATTTCTCACATAGAGTGCTGATGTTTTGGTGTCTATGAGACACCTTCCTCAGAGCTTCTGGCTGGAGTTCTGCTTCTTGCTGCTATGTGTAGCCAATGTAGGTGGTGCTTTTGCGGCAAGAAGCAGAACTCCAGTCAAAAGCTCTGAGGAAGGTGTCTGATAGACACCAAAACATCAGCATGCTAGGTGAGAAAATTGGTTGTGTAAACGAAAACTCCTGTATCCTATACTTTACCAACTTGATGAAACTATTTTCGGATCTCAACACAGGGCATCTTCAAACAGTCATAAGAATCTCTTTTGATACACACCAACTTCTGAGTTCCCGACCACCAGCTTGGCCTGTGGAAACTTTGTCTTCAGTTCCAGAACCTCCTTGAAAGTCGCAGGTTTGATCCAAGTGACTCGCTCCCCGACAAACTTCAGAGTTGTTTGATCACCACCCGCAGATTTCTATATAGAACATACAGGGAAGTAAGATGAAGGTACCTGTGATTTAATAGCAAATTTCTTCATTCACAACCGGCGTTGTGTGGTGTAGTGGATAGAGCGTCCGACTGTCAAGCAAGAAGACCCAGGTTCAATCCCCAGGGTTGGACCCAGACATGTCCGGACTTGCACCCAGACGTTGTGCCCTTAGGAAAGGCACTTAACATGCATTTCCTCCCTCAGTTAGAGGGTTCCTGGGCCCTACTAGGGTTTGGGTTGGCGTTAGGAAGAGCATCCAGCCGTAAAAATCCTGCTTCAAAAAAAGACTTGTACCTGGTGCAAGCACGTCTAACCCCCGGTTGGGGAAAAATGACGTTAAATTCGGTTTAAAAAATAAAAGTCTGTTAGATAAAAAAAAGTAAGATTAAGAGACCTGTGATTTAATAGCAAATTTCTTCATTCACAACCACTTGTTTGATTGTTTTTAAGAAGCAGACATTTCATGACTATTTGTCATCTTCATGAGGGCAATTATGGCCGGTTCACTGTGTACTTTATTGAAATGTGAACTTTTGTAAAACAAGTGGTTGTGAATAAAGAACTTGCTATTCAATCACTCAACAAGCTAATAACTGATGAAATTATTTACAGATATAAGAGGGCCTGCAAGGGGGGGTCCTGACAACGCTCTACGCTGAATTCGGAAACTTCTCGATTACGCTTTACGATAAATTCCAAGTGGCCACAACGCATTATGTAGAATTAAAACGGCGAATACGCTCTACGCAAAATGCACCGAGTGGTCCGTCTACGCTCTACGTAAAATTAAAACGGCCGATTACGCTCTACGGAAAAGGGCTTGCTGGCCCCCATATAACTTGTGATACTTATCAACCATGCCTTACTTATTATCTATTAGTAAGTGGAATATGGTCCAAATGGTAGTGCAGAAAGACATGACAGAATTTGCCCTCAATGGCACATAATGGTACAAGACCTTGGATCTAAACACACACATGCAGCCTTTTGAATAACCCATAAACACTTAAAAAAGGTGATAAAAAATGCTGCAATTTACCATCAGCTCGGGTGGGAAGATTGGCTCCTGGGTGGGGTCAAGGGGCCTGAACTCTGACACCTGGAACAACTCAGTGGAGACCTGAGGAATAGGTCAAGATTAGGTCATGTGTGAAATGCAAAACAGTTTTAACTAGAAAGGTAACATTTGCAAAGCAAATTCATAATGTTTACCTTCACATGGAGTAGCTTAGTTAATGAACTACTGCTCTATTTATTCTTACTCAAACACATTCATTATGTATATTAATCAGCCCCTCAAACTCTGTCCTGCCACTTGCTACATAATGTAATCCAACACCACAGGGTGTCTGCTACAGCACCAGTTACCATTGCAACAGCCTTCTGTTCCAGGTCATTGACCTTATTTGTTTTGATTGAAAGACAAAACAAAAAAACAGTTTGTTTTTCTTCTGCAAAGGTAAACATTAAGATCACTACTTCAGGATCAGAAAAGCAGGAGTCAGAGTAATAATAGCTTACAGCAGAAATAATCCCTCCAACAACAGTATGAATAACAATACGATCTAAGCAAGCATCACAGTCGGCAGAACGTACTGCGCCTGCGCAAAAGCCCCATTTTTCACGGATTTCGTTGGATTTTCTGGTCAACGTTGCATCAGAATTTTGCTTGTTGCAGGCGATATCTTTTCCGACATAACATTTAGAAACTACAGACGGGAGGTTAACCTTATATACGCGAATACGACCTTATATGAGACGTTTTACCAAAATGCTATGCACAATACATTACAGGTTTCGCGAAGGTGCAGTACGTTCTGCTGGTGTGGTGTCTCAGCAGCTTGACTCACATCCTCAGTCCATCCATTCCCAGCATTTCCATTGGGCTGTCCATTGACTGTGTCTCCATTGGCCACATGTCCATTGGCTCCCTGCCCATTCTCTGCGTGCCCATTGGCTGCCTGCCCATTCTCTGCGTGCCCATTGGCTGCCTGCCCATTTTGAATGTTACGGCAGCAGCCGTTCCCAGCCATCCCTCCACAGCAGCCCTGGAACTCCTGGAAATTGTGCAAAAGTACAGCGCATGAATGCTGATTGACATACCTCTTTCTACTGCCTTTTACCATTCAAGGTAGCTGTCCCTGGAAACCCTTGCACAAAAAAAGGCAAAAAATCCATGGTACTGAACTCTATCTGCATACAGGAAAACTGAATCTGTGCCTGGTGCTGACAGCCAACAACAAAGCTCAATATAATGTTAACATTCCAGGATAAACATCCCTGACACTGGCTCTATGTGTTAACAAAAAAACTGAGTCTAAAAATTGAGGCAGTCATCAATTAAGGCAAACATATTATATTGTTACCTGTCCATGGTGCTGAAAGCTATGTAACGTTACATATGTGCAATTAGACCTGTTTCTACCATTTAACATCATCTACATACATTAAATATCTTCAAGCACACACCTGTCTTTTACACTAGATGCCACATACATGTACATACAAACAAACAAACAAACAAACACACATGCAGCTGTCCCTGGTACTGAATGCCATCCACACAAGTTTACAACTAAGCCACACAGAATATCTGTACCTGGAAAAATTGAGACTGTCCCGGGTGCCACCAACAAAGCCAAACACACCTGTCCATGGTGCTGAATGTTATGTGTACATACATATAATTAGCTGTCCCTGGCATTGAATATCATCTACACACATTCAAACACACACACACACATACACAATGACACACACACACACACACACACACACACACACACACGCGTGCACACACGCACGCACACACACGCAGAGCTGTCCTTGGTACTGAATGCCATCCACACAAGTTTACAACTAAGCCACACAGACTATCTGTACCTTGGTGAAAGTCTTGTATCCCTCCAGAATAGGTCTGTAGCCAGTACACCTGCACAGGTTACCTGGAGGAAATGGAAACCTTTTATTTACACATTTTGCATCTCTGCACTCTTAAAACTCATAAATCGATATCCGTATAGCATGAAATAGTAAATAAGCAGAGGTGCTGAAGCTTATAAGAAAGACTTACAATGGGACCCTATAGAGCTCCATTGCCAAGCAGATGGAAGCATTGGAAGTAGAGCTTAAGTCTTTCAAGTCAGGTCTAGCTGAAGAGATTCCTTGAGCAGAAGACACCTGAGACAGCAGAAGTGACAGATCTCAGGCGAAGGAAAAGCTGTGGAAGAGTGAAGCACACAAAAGAGTCTGGCAGATGCTCTGCAAACTTCAGACATGTTTCACAATAATAACAAAATTCATAGTATCTTGTAATATAATATAATATAATATAATATAATATAATATAATATAATATAATATAATATAATATAATATAATATAATATAATATAATATAATATAATATAATATAATATAATATAATATAATATAATATAATATAATATAATATAATATAATATAATATAATATAATATAATGTGTGAGAGCACCATAGATTTTCTGTTACCTATGATACACCAAATCACTGAGAATCAATCTTAGTGTCATCTGCATAAGAAGACAACCCAGAAGCAGTGGATTACTCATTCCATGACTCAAGTTGTACATTGTACAATTTCTTGTGTTGGAAATTACAATTAAAGCTTGCTTTAGGCCACACCAATTTGATTTCTTGGTTAACGGATTTTTCTAGAAAATAATGGAGCGGGCGGGCGACAAAAAATAAAACAGGCCTAGCCATCCTATTATGGCCCAAATTGGAACGATAGGAGCCATGAAGTCAACACACCAGGCTGGTTCAAAATTTAAACAATGAATTTTGGAACTTTTAATGATACCATTGCATTGAAAGATGGAATAACTGTAACAACTAGGAGGAAAAGGACTGTTTTCAACTGTTCAGGGCAAAATATGAGCATTTTGCAGTTGATTCTTAATTTTTATTTTTATTTGCAAATCAGAAAAAAATGAAGCGGGCGAATCCGTTAACCAAGAAATTAAATTGGTGTGGTCTTATAATAAATAATATAAAATGTAAAAAGTTTACCCTGAAAGGCTGCCTCCAACTGGTCCATGTCTGGGCAGGGGTGGTTGCGCAGTAAGGTGTACATGGACATGACGATCCCCGGGGTGCAGAACCCACACTGGGACCCGTGGGCCTTCGCTAGTCTCTCCTGGTGGGGCAAATCAACAGTTTAAAACACAAACTGTGTGTCAGGCAAATCAAACAGCATGGGGCTGACCATACACTGGTGGTGCAGAACCCACACTGGGACCCATTTGACGCACATAGACAATTTGCGAACATTAGAAACCACTAGGTGAACAATCTACAATAGGGCAGTTTTTTTTCTTACAAGTTCAACAGTCGTACCATGTGAGGTATTGCACTAGAGTTATTTATCTTTCTGATTTGCAGTGGATACTATCGAGTTTGTGAGATGACCTTAAGCCATTCAGGCAACATTGTATGTCATGTTTGTCTGTTATGTTTGATATCTTAATAAAGAATTGAATTGAATTAATACTATATGAGAGAAGGACTTTAACTAACTAACTTTACAGGAGAGAAGTTCTTTAACTAACTAACTTTACAGGAGAGAAGGACTTTAATTAACTAACTTTACAGGAGAGAAGGACTTTAACTAACTAACTTTACAGGAGAGAAGGACTTTAACTAACTAACTTTACAGGAGAGAAGGACTTCAACTAACTAACTTTACAGGACAGAAGGACTTTAACTAACTAACTTTAGAGGAGAGAAGGACTTCATCAACTAACTAACTTTACAGGAGAGAAGGACTTTAACTAACTAACTTTACAGGAGAGAAGGACTTTAACTAAGTAACTTTACAGGAGAGAAGGACTTTAACTAACTAACTTTACAGGAGAGAATGACTTTAACTAACTTACTTTACAGGAGAGGACTTTAACTAACTAACTTTACAGGAGAGAAGGACTTTAACTAAGTAACTTTACAGGAGAGAAGGACTTAGAGGAGAGAAGGACTTTAACAACTAACTTTACAGGAGAGAAGGTGAGAACCTGACCTGTACAGGGTGCAGTCTGGTCCTGGTGCTGCCGATCCCCTCCACTGTGGTGACAGCTGCACCGTGTAGGGAACAGATGGGAGCGAGGCAGGCGTTCACGGCAAGGTGGCTGCAGGGCAGCGCTCAGGAAAACGCACATCTTTTATCCTACTTTAGGCCACACCAATTTAATTTGTTGTTTCTCGGATTTTTTCAGAAAAAATCAGGAGCGACAGGGCGAAAAAAAAACAAAAAACAGGCCAACGAAGGCACCCCATGGTAGCCGGAAATATGAGCCATGAAGTGAACATACCAGGCTGGTTTATATCAGAAAATCAAAAAAAATGGACAGGGGGATCCGAGAAGCAACAAATTAGATTGGTGTGGCCTTAATATATATATCACCTCTAATTTATTTATAGTATATATAGGGAGCAAATATGAATAGGACAGGCATTCACAGGTGTAATATTATAATGTGTAAAGCCTACTAAAACTTTCCCCTGCTTGGCTGTACCTGGAGGTGTAATATTATAATGTGTAAAAGGATACAGCACTTTCCCCTGTGCTTGGCTGTACCTGGAGGTGTAATATTACAATGTGCAAAAGGATACAGCACTTTCCCCTGTGCCTGGCTGTACCTGGACACCATGACAGTACAGGCTCCACAGCCTCCCTCCCCACAGCCCAGTTTCGCTCCTGTCAGGCGTACTGGTCAACTGTTAAGGGAATCTCAACAACAAATCTGCACTCTTTCAGACAAACCCCACCTACATGTAAGGCCAGTATATATCCAAAGCTTTAGTTAAAAGAAATCATATTATATCCGATTCAACCAACTGACGTACAATCTAGTTTATACAGTCATATATAGAACTCAAGACATGTATGTTATCATGTAATAAGCCATGTTCCATACATATACATGTACTATACTACCTTTTTGAAATAGTGTAATGTTATTTTCGATACATAGAACTTGTAGGTATCACTGTAGATGTGAAAGTAGATGTTAGCTAGATTGATTTTTGCCTGTTCTAAAAAAAAAAACTCCTCCAAGGCTCTGGCCTGTGTGCCAGCTCCTGTAGTCTGCAGTAGCTAGCAACAGTTAGGAGCGGGCAGTAACTACGGAGGATGGCACCCAGGCTGCGGAAGCTCCACGAAACTTAAGAACTCAGTACATTGCCGACTCATAAATGCCGCAAAAGTTGTGAAAGTCGCACTGCCGCACTACCGCAAATTCACAATGCCATGGCCAGCTTTGTATTCCTTACACAGTGGTTTAGCAGCATTTTTTTTGTCTGGATTTTTTTTTTTCGCCTGCAAGCACTAGTTTGGAGGTTTTCAGAGGATGTCATCCATAAAATTAAGTCAGTGTGGCTTAGTACCAAAGCTATTAACCAAGGATTGAGGTGATCAGAAAGTCATTTTTTTCTTAGAGCTATCATACATTGGAACTGCCACCAAGTACAGTATTAAAGGGATGTAAACAACCCTTAATTACAGTTTTGCAGTTCTGTGCAATTGTGAATATCTTAGGTGTAACACTAACAGGTCATTTGATGTAACGTTAATGTTGCCAGCTGCTGCCACGTCATATGCGTGCGAAGAGCAGTTTACCTGCCACAGATACAAACCTGCATCAAGCAATCATCAAATCAGCTAATACCATTAAATAAGTTTCCAACACATTTGTAAATTTGTCCTAAACCTCTAAGCTTTGAAAGTTTTTTTTACAAATCAACAATACTGGGTGCAAGCATAAGACACCTGTCAGGAAAAAGTGCTGTTTTGTGTACAATGGGAAGGATTAAGATCAATTGCTCACCAGGGATACAGAGTCGGGTAATACTTGTTTGGGTTCCACCATGAAGGTAGAAAAGAGATAACAATGGAAAACTCTGGTGTGCCGCGCTGGGGGCTACGCAAATCAGGGCAATTGACAAGTTCGTGCCAATTACAGTTTTGATGCCCGCGGCCAACATTGGACAATAGGCATACATTTTGAGCTCCCTCCTTCTCTTTTTTCTACCTTCATGGTTCAACTATGCTTCCAATAGACATTCAAAGTTGTCCTTATTATTAACAGTGTAAGCTTTAACCATTGTCCTGCTGGCATTTTTTTTACACAACATTTTAAAATAATTTGATGTCTTAATCAGGTCATAGACCCTTGACTTTTTTTGCCCTGCTATGCCATAGTTACTTTGGAACCCGCATTTGTTGCATTTTGCTGTGGTGAGATGCATTGCATGAGAAATACCCTCAAATCATACATATACAGGGTCCTACTTGGGTGGTGCTGTATGTGCAACCCATATTATATATATATATATGTATATGTATATGTATATGTATATGTATATGTATATGTATATGGTATATATATATATATATATATGTGTATATATATATATATATATATATATATATGGGCTCCACTGGACAAGGGCTAAAACCATTTCCAAATCATAAATACTGGTTGCATCTATAAAGACACAAGTCATGTCTGGAAAAAAAGTGCAGTACAGAAGGATACATTTCGTCCTGAGGTAGGTCAATAGGGTCATCTCTGGGTCAGCATCCTGGTCCACAACCTATAGCCCGGAGACAAGTTGTCTTAAAGGTCCATTTGTTGTGCCGACAGAGCGATTATCTGCCGCCACGCATACGTGGCCAGTCATGCATGCCGATATTCGTAATCTCCAAGCAGATCCTAGTAGTGGTGCATACCTAAACCCACATTTAGGTTCAGGTCCGGATTCAAGTCCAGAGGTTTAGGTTCAGTTCCGGACTTGTAAGTCCAGACCTAAACCCATGGCATATACAAAATTGCATGTTGGCAACCTTGCAATGTTGTCTGGGTGAAACTTTGGCCACATAACATGGAGGCCGGTACTTGACAATGCCCGATGGCAATGTTTTCTTCATTTTGCAGCAAAGATTTTGCAATCTACAGTGGTTTGGAAAGAAAGGGGGTATGTGAAATGGTCTTTAGTGGTAATAAGTCCGGACTCGGTTCTTGACTTTTAGGTTTTTTTGGACTTGAACCTAAACATTCTTACAAGTCCGGATCTAAGTCCAGTGAACCGGTATGCACCACTAGATCCTAGGGTGGCGTATGGACCCCCTCTGGCGAATGGATACTTTTTTTTTAAATCCAATTTTAACGTCATTTTTCCCCGAAATGGGGGTTAGACGTGCTTGCACCAAGTGCAAGTCTTTTTTGAAGCAAAATTTTTGTGGCTTGGCCTGGTCTGGCCAATGTGGTACTGTCTTTTGCCACCCTAGTATCTGTCTGTCGATTAGCATATTCCCTATACTGGTAACTTCTTCATAGGTTGCGGATTGCGCCACCCGGCGGAATTCGACGGGATTGCACCTCCGGGAGGGAGTGTCCGCCCAACAGGTCCCAGCATGCTTCACTTCTACGTTCAGGGTACTTGCTTGGCAGCACGCAAAATAAGAGAGCCAAGAATTCTGCATTCCCACCCACCACTCCCTGGCTGCCTGGCATGTAGCCTTTTGTGTGGGAAGGGGGCATACCGTAGCGCATTCTCAGAGTTTCTTTGAAGTGATTAAAAAATCTGAACTTCGGCCAAACGAAAGTCTGAGCTAGTGTCTCTTCCCTGGTGTAATCCCGGGCAAATACATTATTCCTGATACATGTATATCATAATTGGCTATGAATGCAGAAATTTTCATGGTAGTTTAATTTCCACAGTTTGTCACAACGTGAAATCAAAACATACATGAGTAACGGTACATGTTTTTTTAAAATTCTGCTGTTCTACCGAATGATTTCAAATGCAAGGTTTAAACACTACGAAAACCTCATTTTCCCTCCAACCAGAAAATGAAACCATGTGGAAAGTTTCTGCATTTTACAGTATTTCTATCAATACCAGTTGGCCAAGATATGTCTACCTTAAAAACAGTTAGGTTCATCAATCAGGACTTTCATATGTCCTTTGTTGCAACGTATAAGCCCGTAACTTCAAACTATTTCTTCCATTTGGCACAATGAAATCATTTCTTTTATTTGTTCATTTGTTATCTAACCTGAAGAAAGTAAAAAGTTAATAAACAACTATGAGCAAACTCAGGGCTGGTTGAGTATGTGTACATGTATATACGTCAGTATGCTGATAACAGACTGCTGACAGTTATATAGCATATAACTCATTGTAAACTTGTGACATCTGAAGCTTATAGTGTATACGCCAAAAAGCAGTCACTCAAGCAAATTTTTTGGAAGTCGAAAAAGGAACAAAAGTCAGACAAGTCAAGACAAGATAATGCAAATTAGTCAGAAAGCTCCTTTTATACAGAACAGGAGCTTTTAAGTGTTGTCTGTCCTCCGGGCTGGGAGTGCCAAATCCCAAGTGCCGGAAAGATCGACCCGTAGCCCCCCCTCCCTGTTGAGGGTGGGGTTGTACATTCTTTTCATTCTTTCTTGTCTGACTTTTGTTCCTTTTTCGACTTCCAAAAAATTTGTCTTCACTTTATTTGCATATCAATCTATAGTTTGTGCTTATAAACCTGCATTTCCCCTCTGTTTTGAACTTTACTACTATGACTTGAGTGTTACAAAATTCATGACGTTCTTATATAAACAAGAGTCCAAAGGGATGTTTGCTTAACACCCCAATCACTTGTCACCCTCTTGTACAACACAAAAGGACTGAGTAAGACATTAACAACATTGACTCCAAAGGTCTATACTTACAACAAGACTCGTGACGTGTCAAAACATCCTTTTTGCAGCCTGTTAGATTTTTTGTTAGGTTCTGAAATGCCCCATGCTCTACTGGGTCCAATATCTTGCCACTACTGTCAAAACAAGGCAGAGGATTGACACAAGTTAACTGAAGTTTTGAAAATCGCTGGCTATGTTTTTAAAATTTTTTGTCAAAATTTACTTTATGATTCACCGCATAACAAGGCTCGTGAGAGCCACTCAAAATGTTTTGGCTTACTGTACAGCCAGTGAGGACAGCTAGATGTCCAGTTCAAATTGTGAGAGAGTTGGGAATTTATTTATTTATTTCATCTTATAAACACCTGGGTAGCCTTTACAACAGTAAAATTGTTGATTTCCAAAAGGGCCCAGGGACACATAAACAATATAACATAACATAAACACAACATAAAGCAATTTGTATAAAAGTAAATTATACAATCAAGTAACATAACTGAGAAAAGTTAACAGAGATCAGTATAACTGAAAATCAGTATAACTGAAAAGTTAACAACTGATACAATATAAATATAAATGGCTGAACATCAATATACAAACCAAAATGTCAAAATCATAATCGTGATCCATAATCGCGTCCAACTTACCGTTCCGAATTGGGGCAAGACATTATCAAGATCGCATTAGTATGTATAGTTTAAGTGCAATTGCTGTATCTTTCTCCTTGTCTATTCATGACCTGTACTTCGTTAGCTTGTTAAGAGCACAAATGTACAATAAAGGTCTTTCATTCATTCATTCATTATCAAATGGGCCAACAAGATATTCTTCCAAGAGATCTGCTTGGAGATTTGATTAGATCAAGGAGCTTCCATAGAAAGTCCTTGGTTAGATACTAGTAAAGTCCTGGAAGACACCAATTGTGAAGACTAATTGATTTTCAATAGTCTCAACTAATTTGTCCCTTTGTCCTGGGATTTAATCTCCCAGCAGATCCCATGGGTGCAAAAGACACTATCTAAATTGGCCAGGCCTTTTCCAGTTGCCTAATTTGGTAATTTTCCCCCTGGGATCTGCTTGGAGATTACTGGGATTCTCCCAGCTCCTCCCAGTTCCTCCTCCCCCGAGTTTTATGGAAATTGATGACTGTTTTTGTGGACCTTGTGCCCTGTCAGAAATGGGCCAAGAGGGTACTGTATGGCCAATTTTATAGTGTCTTCCCCAAGATAGATGTTTATAGAGATTAGGCTAGATACTGATACTAGTACTCTGAGTTACTTCCCCTTGAGTTTTATGGAGATTGATGTGTGTTTGTGGACCTTGTGCCCTGTCAGAAATGGGGCAAGAGGATATGGAGTTAAAAGATCAGATGTTTCCAGCCTCCACCAGGCCTTTCTACAGGAATACAGATCGTAGAATTCGGCAAAAAAGATAGTAAAATGGGCCAAGGGAGTCCGGCCGCAGGGAGGTAGTTTCTTTCCCTCTGATCAGGCCTTTTTACGGGAATACAGATAATTGTTACAGCTATTCCATCTTTCAATGCAATGGTATCATCAAAAGTTCAAAATTCACTGTTTAAATTTTGAACCAGCCTGGTGTGTTGACTTCAGGGCTCCTATCGTACCATTTTGGGCCATAATAGGATGCCTAGGTCTGTTTTGGCACCAAACAATTGGAGAAAGTCTGAGGTCTTCCTGCATTTTGTACTTCTGGCAACAGTTTTTCCATTTTTTTTCACCCGCCCGCTCCATTATTTTTCTAGAAAAATCCGTTAACCAAGAAATTAAATTGGTGTGGCCTTATCACCTCTAGTTTACAAGCCTCTGAGTTCCTCCTCCCTTGAGTTTAATGGAGATTGATGTGTTTTTGTGGACCTTGTGCCCTGGAGACCATGGCCTGCCAGTGACCAAGCTACTGTGGAGTTATGCAATCATGTAATGGGTTACAGATGGGCAAAGAAGGAGCCATCAAGTACAGATAAACATTGCATAACTCCATCTGAACCCCCTTGAAACTGTGGGACAAGTGAATAGATGTAGATTATATCTTCAATTGGATACAGTTCAGGGCTAAAGGACAAACTGTTCCTGGTTGAAAATATATAGAGAAAAACACAAGGTGTTTTATACAAATCTGAAAGCTTGATTTTTTGTTTGTTTTGTTCAGAAACGAATGAAGGCCTTTGTTGTACCATGGAGGTCGAAACATCACATGGTTGAACACACATACCAAATCTGAAATTTATGCTTGATTTTTTGTTTGTTTGTTTGTTTGTTCAGAAATGAATGAAGGCCTTTGTTGGTACCATGGAGGTAGAAAAATCACCTGGTTGAACACACATACCAGCTGGGTTAAGCACAGGTCACAACAAAAGAATAGGATATACAGATAACGTTACATATATTAGCCTCTACCAGGCTCCGCGGATCGCTGGAAAAATAGTAGAAATTGGCCGAAATAAAGGGATAGTACACCAGAGAAGATCCAGCCGGCCATAGAAGCTCCAATTTGCGACCCACGGGGCGTGATAACTAGTTAGGCCAAAGCTCAGAACGTGGCACTGAGGGAGTGGGACAATCGCCTAGGGCCCTGTTGACAGACCAAGCCCTATATATGGGTGTTAGTTGTGTGTTAAAAGGGTGACAACGATTTGTTTGCAGTACAGACATTCGAGGTGTTGAAAACGTTTTTTTTTTTTTTTTCGCA